ACCTTCCCGTCTGCAAATATGTTGCTGCCACTTATCTCCCGCAATTTTGAGTGGTTTCTTGGCAGAACCTGGCGGAACATCACCCTTAAATATGTCATTACCTGAAAGCTCAGCGAATTTCTGATTATGAATTTTCTTAGCTGTATTAACTGCAGCATCCTCAATGGCACCTCCAGCAGGCTACAAAATAACATCCAAGTTAAAAAACGGGTTAGATATTCAAACTTGATTATTGATGCTAATCGAACTAAATGGAAAAATTCAAGTACTTAATGCTTGTGAAAGGAAAGCTTCAGGTACAACACAATTCCCGTAAGCAGTTCATAACTTCAGGAATGTAATTCACCAAAGCACAGGTATGTGATTCATAATTAGCTTAGGTGCAATTCATTGTATCAAGCACAATACGTTCTAGCATTGTCAAAATTCAGTAAGCAGTTTTGACATTTACTTGCATTATTTGTATGAGATTCTCCCACGTCGAAATTGTCCTTCAATGCCAATGCACGTACAGTTGTTGGCCTCGGTAAGATTTCAGGTGGGGGTGCAAAGATGTCGTGTCCACTAAGCTCCTTGCACTTTGCATCTGAAAGCTGCTTCTTCAACTTTGAATCCTCACTTTCTAACGTTCCACTCAGCTCACGTTGCTTTGCAACCTCAGGAAGAGTAGTTGGCTTTTTGGGGGAGATACTCTCTTCCTAATTATGTTTTAGGGAAGATATGTTTTTGGATACAAAATTAAAAGAGATTATAAATATAATAAATTTTTTTTTGGCATACTTTGGGACTTGAAGTATAAGCTAGGTTTTGGGCTTTTTTACCAAAATATCATCTGACAAGTAATAATTACCTGTCAGGCATATTTTGTATGGTTTCGTCCGAGCTGACATTACATAAGAACATGTGCGGATCGTCGTCCGCACCTTTTTAGGATTTCTGACACACGCCTGTGATCCACGCCTTCCATTAAATTTCCAACTGTTCACACCTCCCACATTAATTACCTCATTCGGCTAAACCCTCCCCTCTCCCTATAAATACCCCCTCCTTTATTCATTCAAACACACACTAAATTCTCAAATCCTCTCAAAGCTCAAACCCGGTCAAATTCTATTAAGAAGGTAAAATATTTTATTGTATTATAATAAATTAATAATTTATTATTTTATTAAATTGTATTATATTAACTTTTTATTATTTTTTACTGTTATAAAATGGAAGACGGTCTGTTACGTTTAGATAGATATCATATCTCGATGCATTTTGTTGATACGGTAACAATTTTAAATTCTATTTTAATTTTAATTATTGTTAATATTGTATTTATTTTATTTGTTTAGTATTAGTTTATATTTTAATTCCTATAATATTTATTAAATTAGGAGAGATCGTATCTTAGATCACTTCATTCGTAATCTTAAGTTAGAGATACCAACCCGTGTATGGTCGTATTTAGTCGAGGCTGGATTCGATTACGTATCAAAATATGAAGGGCAATGTAAGCTAAAATCCAACCTGATTTCTGCATTGGTTGAGCGGTGGAGACTAGAGACACACACATTCCATCTTTCGTGTGGAGAGTGCATAATTACGCTGGAGGATGTTTTCATGCATTTGGGGCTTCCGGTAGACGGAGACGTGCTTTCTGGGGTAGCGCACGGTGACTGGCATTCATTGTGCGAGGAATATCTTAGAGGTGTCCGACCTAATTTCAACGGTGGTCGAATTCCGTTAAATTGGTTGGATGCAACTTTCAAGCATTTGAGTGGCGACGCCTCGGAGGAGCAGGTTAAAATGTATGCACGAGCTTGCATACTACAGCTCATAGGAGGGCTCATGATGCCGGACAAATCGCGCAACCAAGTTCACTGTATGTGGTTGCGTTACCTCGCCGATTTTCATCATGTTGGCACACTGAGTTGGGGCTCGGCAGTTTTCACATTTCTCTATAGGGAAATATGTCGAGCTACTGACTATAGAAAAAATTGCTATCGGTGGATGTCTCATTCTGCTCCAATTTTGCGCGTGGTTTCTCATGCCCTTTTTATGTCCAGTGGTGAAAAACCCGTTGGTCTTCTCGCTATTATTGAGGAAATTACAATATTGATTTCGTGTATTAATAATTTTATTTAGTATATAATAAAATTATTTCATTGAATAGGTGGTCAACTACAAGAAAATATCATCGGATTTACTAGATGAATTGGAAGAAATTAGGCTACTCATTTATTAGAAGGTTGGCACATAGGTATGTTTTTAAATAACAAAATGTACTTTTAATTATCGTTATATAATTAGATTATTATTTTGATAAAAATTATATATATATTTGTTTTAGTTTGAATGTGCACATTATTATACCGAAGAAATGATGATTTGCATCCCACACCACTTAAGAGGCCCATTAAATGTCTGGATGGCGGTGGTCCATCTGATATGTTATGTGATTGTCGAGTGACATCCCATTAATTGCGTGCTCCGCCAATTTGGTTTTGTACAATTTATTCCGAAAACACCTAAAAATCATCGATCGACGCGACAAAAAAGAAGTCAACTGGCTGCTGAAGCACTATGAGTGCCTTCAGGTAAAAGAAATTGGCAGATGAATATCTTCCCCTTGAACTGGACGCGATGTTGTCATACGGATTATTTATGGAGCCACCTCGGTACATATCGTAAGAAGTTGTTAATTAATGTATCCCCAATGAACTTGATGGGATGTCAACATAACGTGGATTTCCCATTAACGAGTTAAAGTCATTACATATTATTTGAGTTGTGTTGTCAACTTGATCAGCTTGTTGAGTCAACCCATAGTGGGAGCATAATGACATACCATGAATAACACACACTTTAACAAATTTTGCATACATCTCTGTATCGGCATCTGAATAATGATTTTGAGAATCAACCATCATAGCAACATCGTCATCGTTGGATAGTTCGAACGCTGTATATGTTAACGGAAATACTACGGTTGAAATTTTGTACTGAAGTGAGGACAATCTTCTAGTACTTCCAACATGAATCTTCCTTGAAATCTTCGTTATCATCTCCTCAAAAGTTATGTTTCTCTTGAAGGATATTTTGAGAAAATGATTTGATGTGAATACGACGACGATTTCATATTCCCGAATTTGTCCATCATATTAAACAATAGCTGAAATATGCATCATTCTGAGAGTTTGAAAGATTGAGAGTCTTATATCTGCAAAAACAATAGCTGAAATACTCCTAATTAAATAAATAGTAAATGAATTAAAATATAACCTTAAAAATTTTAAAAATTTCACAATAATTTAAATAATATAATTTTATATTGTTATCTTATATGCAAAAATGTCTCGACGTATGATCTCACTTTCCAATTTTACAATCGCAAAAAATAATATAATTAGTATAATATTTTTTTTTCAAATAATCATATATAAAATAAATATAATATAATATAAAAAAATAAGTTTATCTTACAATAAAAAATCGAAGGAATTGGTGAAGCAAAAATAGAATGAATTGATGTGGTGATGGTTACGCTTGAAGGGGTGTTATTTATAGGCGAGAGGAGAGTTTAAAGGTTGAGGTACTCGGAACTAATAATAAAAGGTGCGGATGACGATCAACTTCTGTCATTACGTGGCGTCAGTTCGGGACGAAATCTCAAAAAGACGCGGATGACAATCTACATCTTTTTAAAAAGAATATTAAATCAATAAAATTTTTAAAAAATAATATCTGATAAGTAATTATTTTCTAGCAGGATGATTTTTCGATAAAATCGCTTAGGTTTTGATTGAATTTTGAAATGAAGAAAATAATAGAGAGAGAGCATCATTTTCGCTTTTTTCTCCATTGCGCTCCCATCCCCCATGTGAGCATCGAAGGAATCGTTTGTAAGTATTTGGACAGCCATTCAGTCATTTCACCACTACAAACCAAATCATTCTGTGGACCACCTTTCTCGATGTTTCACGTGCGCTGAACTCAGCGTACCCACTCAACTGCCATTCGTTCCAACCGAATCTTGTACAATATATATTTATATAATTATATTCAATTTATTTGTATATTAATTTAAATTAATATCATATATATTTATTACATATACAATTTCTATCCGTAATACCATATCCGAATTTTAAGTTTTTAACTATAAAATTATAGTTAAAGAATATAACGTTTTATTATGTTAGATCAATTAATAATTGATATATAATGTATATTTTAATTCAACTCGATTTAATTTAATGAAAACTATCATCTTAGTTAGTACATAAAAAATAAACTTTGATATTGTGACCTCCAACATGTTAATAAACAAGCTACTGAAATTTAAGATGGCCTGAGCTTATATGAGCTTCTCGGGGTTTAATTGGAGCTTGATTCATTTTTAGTATATCAAAACTCAACATACTATTAAATTCACTTGGTTCCACAATAAAGTTAAAATGAATGAATTGATGATATATAATTTTAAAATTTATATTTTGGTGGCCCATTTTATGTGAATAGATGGATCCATGGCCGAGCCCGGACCAAAAAAAAATTCTGACAATTATTGATTTATTTTGTAGGGCTAGTATTTTAAAATTAATTTTTAAGTATATTTATTTTAAAGTTATTTAATATATTTGAATGATTAAAAATTATAAATTTAAATCATAATTCATATCAATTGTAAATAGACCGCTTGATTATATTAAAATTTGTTTATTTTTAGAAAATATTTTTCCTACAACCAATATATAAACATGAAATAATTTTCTAATTTTTTTTATCACATTCATAGATCATAATCAAGTTGTTTTTCTATATCATTATCTCATGATTTTTTTAAGTTTCCATTTTTCGAGAATTACATCAGCTTGTTCTCGATTCGTCCTCGGACAATCTCTTCTCAAACACATACTAACAGAAGAACACAAATCACTCACATCCATATATACATATATATTGAAGATTCTGGTTTCTGTTGACTCCACGTTGCTTTTTGGGCCTTTCGTTTTCTCTCCTTGAAAGCTGGTACCCTTTCTCTTCCCAGAGAAAAGCCTTTTCAATTATTACGAAGAGATTCTGAGATTGAAACGATCAGAGGAAAAGAGAATGAGTTCAGTTATTACCGGTAATCTCAGAGCCGCGTTTTTGCCAGGCCAACTCGGTAAAACCTCAGCTCATTGCTTGTTCAGAATTAGACCCTTCACCACTGCCGTTTCCAGAAGAAATCTAACCTCGAAAATTCGCCTTTTTTCTACTACCTTTGTTGAAACCAAACCTACGGTATGCAATATCAATTACCAGACAAACGGGTTAGTGTTGGTGCCAAGGATATTTGTCTTATTGTTCTTAGTATTATTACCGACTCTTTTGCAGGCACCGGTTGCGGTGGAGAAAGAGGATAGTGGCGCTGCCAGTGGTTTAGCCTGTCCCATTTGTTATTACCCATTAACGAGGATCAGTGATTCCCCTTTATATGTGTGAGTTGGTGTTGTTATTGCTATTGCTATTGTTTCTGTTCTTGAATTCCAACTTGGGTTTGAATTTGGAATGGAACAGGGGAGCAACAGTAGGGTCTAATCTGCAGTGTAACACTTGCAAAAAGACTTATTTTGGTAACCAAACACATCTTGACCTGGTAGTCTCAAGTGGGTCTAAGCAATATGATGAATCCATGCCGCTAGCCACCGAATTCTTCAGGTTAAAGTGATGTTTTCATTCATGGTTAAATCTTGATTTACATGTGATGCTTATATTCAAGTTGAGTTGTTTTAGGTTGGACATTAGCTCTATTTTGTTGTTACTTGTTTTTGCATGTTATCATGTCTAATACCGATCCGAATTTGTTACGTAGTCTAGCGGACTATCTTTGTATTCAAGTTAAGCCTCTCCACCCATCTAGTGCCACTTCGGTTTATATTGGATAGAGTTCAGGTTCTCTTTTGTTGTTATTGCATGTTCTCTTCCCTTTTACTTATTTCGAGTTTGTCTCTTATCATATGCACATGACGGGGCCTGTTAAAGTAGTGTTTGTTCACATAGGTTAAAATCTAGATTTACTTATGGTCCTTCTATTTAAGTTGGTCTTTCCACTTATCATGGATTGGTTGAAGGTTGACGATGGCTATACTGTCTTTTTCAAGTAGTCTTTGTTGTGGCACATGATTCTCTCGTTCATATCCTGTATTTTCTATTTCCTCTCGTTCTAGCTATTATATATAAGTAGGCTTTAATGGTACTTGCTCTAACAACATCTTTTGTCAATGAATGGGTTGTTTTGGTTTCGGAATGAAGTTCCGAATCTGTTGTTTAACCACTACATTGTGAACCAATTTAGATATTGTTACTGCTTATCCCTGCAACTGATTAGTACATGAGCTTGATGTTATGTCATACGCTTGTTTTTCTTTTATCTTACTCGTCTGTTGTTTGTTGGAATCATTTTCATAACCAGGACTCCTGTGATATCGTTCCTCTATGAGAGGGGTTGGCGTCAAAATTTTGTATTTGGTGGCTTTCCAGGTCCAGAGAAAGAGGTAAGATGATGTTTTCAATAATCTTGTTCTTCGGGGGAGATTATGAATTGGTTATTTTGGAATGTTGATCATAACTTGGTTTTTATGCAAAGCATCATCTGCAAAGATCCTAAAAGATTGAAGCTTGTTGGGTTTACATTAACAATGTCCAGTGTGGATGTCCCTAGGGGCTAGGGAGTAAAATATGTTCATCTGTCACTTGTATTAAAGGAACTCTCTTTGAAAATAACAGTATTTGAAATGCTCATGAATATAAAACGTCAGTTTCTAATCCTTCTAAAATTTAAGAATTGAATTGGCATAATATACATCAAATAGTTTCTCAATCCACGCCATTATTGTTTTATAGTCTTCCTAGTGATTTGTTGACAACAGCATTGTTGATCTAAAGATTTGCCTACACCCCACTATGAAGTATTGTATGTTTTAGAGGTCTAAGGACCATGCGGTTTTATCCTTCGAGAAACTGCACTTTTTTAGGGGGAGGGCAACCATTGCTTTTAAAGTCACAATTCAATCCCTGCCATGTTGAGATGGGATGATTTTATCCCTCAATAGGAGTCGCTAAATAACTGCCAATTTACATTGCAGTTTGATATGGCTAAGAATTACCTGAAGCCGGTGCTAGGTGGAAACATCATCGATGCTAGTTGTGGAAGTGGGATGTTCACCAGGCTTTTCGCCAAGAGTGGACTATTTTTGCAGGTTATTGCTCTGGACTACTCAGAAAACATGCTGCGACAGTGCTATGAATTCATCGAGGAGGAAAACTTCCCCAAAGAGTATAAGTTTACCTTTAGTTTAAGCTAATCTCATTAGATAAGTGAAAGTATTTAGTTTTAAGTACTTCTGAACTTATTGATATATATGGTTATGGATTTTAAGTCTTATTTCCTGTAATTTTTGTTATAAAGGAAAGTGACCTTAGTCAGGGCAGATATCTCTCGACTTCCTTTTGAATCAAGTTCTGTCGATGCTGTGCACGCCGGTGCTGCTTTGCACTGTTGGCCTTCACCATCAACCGCTGTAAGCATTTCTTTCAAATGTGGTGATTATTTGACCATTCCCGTCTTATTGTCCCTAATTACTGGCATATACGGGCTTACATAATAGAGTAATAGACTGACATGGCGACACCTATATTGCTCCGGCTTTTAATTTTACTTGAATTACTTGTGTTCGAGACATATTCAAAATATGGGTGTCGAGTTTTACCCTCCAAATATATGAAAAAAATATAGAAAGGTTGGACATGGTTATTTAAAAGACGTGCCCTTACCTAACACTCGCACAAAAGTTCAAGTAACATAAGTTAACACTCAAAGGAGATACCTCAAGGCCTCATTTCTCAAAATGATGGTAGCAAAGTGGATAACCGATGAGCTTTCACGACTTAAGATTCTTGCATATTTTGTTGGAAATGAGTTCTTTATGCCAATAGTACAGTTCGTGGGGTAAGAAATATATACTTCGATGGGGAACTAAAGTGTCGGAAAAAAAAACTCTGCATCTTGGAGAAAAATCTAGTAATGAAATTATCAGAGCTCGAACTAACATAGTGAGAATATATGTAAGTAAAAAGGTTCAGAAAGGGCAACATTGTTTCTGGAAACGATACTTTAGAAGCTGTTATTGTTTCTTCTGCTGCTAATGCTTGTGTGTGGCATAAGTAATTAGTCATTGTTGCTTGAGCGCTTTTTTGTTTTATGTCCCATGTTTTAAGCAATTCCTAAATGTTTGGTCTAGGTAGCTGAAATAAGCCGAGTTCTTCGACCTGGGGGTGTGTTTGTTGCTACCACCTACGTACTTGATGGGCCGTTTGCATTTCTTCCATTTTTGAGAACTTTCCGGGAGGTAAACTATTTAACCTTTGTGATCACATCAACCACTTCACAGGTTTAGTCTTGAACGTTTAGCATGCGCAATCAACACCCGTAATTTGGCACTTGATTTCCTTTCCCTGAACGAATTCGTCGATATTGTTCGTAAATGGTATTGAATTCATTGAATCCTTGTTCATTATTCTATGTAGAATATCATGGGGATCGCCGGAAGCCAAATCTTCCTTTCCGAACATGAACTAGAAGATCTGTGTCGAACTTGTGGACTGGTTGGCTTTACATGCATAAGAAACGGAATGTTTGTGATGATCTCTGCTAGAAAGCGCAGCAGTTAAGCATCAGTCTTCCCAATTTACAGGTTCTTATTGTCTTGTAATCTCAATGATTTTACATACTCAAATTTGTATAGCCTATAGAGGGTCGTTTCTTTCCTTTTTTCTTCTTCTTCTTCTTCTTCTTCTAAGTTTATGTTTCTGATGGTCTTGTATTGAAGTATACCCAAGTTTACTCGGGTTGTCATTCAGTTACTGTTAAAAAGTAATATATTTGTTATAGTCCTACGGAGGGTTGTACATATAATATTATATATATACACACACACACATATTGGTTATTATGCAGATATTCAATTACCATTTAGTTTTCTTGGACTTTTATAAATTATGAAGCTAAAAAATAGATTGATGTCTATACATAGAATCGGTACCTGTGTATCTAAACTCTATGTTGAGTATTAATATTTTTTTGTCAACTTTGATGAATATAAATTTGGCTTTTCAATTTCTGATAAATTGCATTTAGATATTTGAAATATTACATTTTTTATAATTTGGTTTCACCTCTTTAAAAGATTGTTTTTAAGTTCTAAATTTTTGTTTACTATCAGAATGTGCCGTTACTTATCAGATCGAACGTCCATTTGGTGGGGATATTACACGTTTTCTTTTGGTTCCATTAATTTTTAATATTTATCTGGACAACAAAAAAATAAAAAATAAATAAATAGTATCTGAAAACAACAACAGCCGATGTTTTATTTTCTTTGACATTTTATCATACATTATGGATCTAAATTTTAGTTTAATTTGCATTTGGACCCCAGAAGATGGAACATTGAAGATAATTTTGTAAATTTATTATTTTCTTTAGAATTAAGATGAAATTAAGAGAATTTGTAAATTTCGAGAACTAAATGATAAATGTGAAGAATATGATAAGATTTATAAGCGTGTTGAATTATTTATAATTAGGATAAAATTAATAATATTTGTAAGTATGAAGAACTAAAAACAGAATTATACCATTAAAAAACTGACAAGTCAACTCTCATCCGTTATCAGTGTAACGGACAATGACTAAATTATAATTAAACTGCAATATTAGTGACTAAATTTATTAAATATTTAGTTTGATGATGGAAATAAAATAAACCCAATAACTTAGTGAGTGACAGGGAAAGTTTACCGCGGGTATAATTATGGTATGCCTTTTAAGCCTAAATCTCAGTCGTAAATACGGGAGGAAAAGAAATACGGCACGTCTTCTTTCTCATTTCGTATCTAGGAGACAAAAGACAAGAAAAAGGAGTCAACGTCCCCATAGGCTTAGTTCCTCCCGGAAAATCTTAAGCTCCATCGGAATAGAATCTTTTAACTGCTCTTTTAGATTTTAGGGTCAGAAGAACAGGGATCATTTCATAAATCAATTCAAAAAAAAGAAGAAGAAAAGAATCCAAAACAGATAGAATTAATGGATGGAATCATGAACAAGCTAAGGAATTTAGATGCGTACCCTAAGATAAACGAGGATTTCTACAGCCGCACACTTTCCGGTGGCGTCATCACTCTCGTGTCCTCCGTTGTTATGTTCTTGCTCTTCTTCTCCGAGCTCCGTAAGTTTTTTTTTCTCTACTCAATTATTTGGATCTTTTTTTTATCTACCTTGGAATTGAATTATTTGAAATTTATTTTCTTACTTCGAAAACTGTTAGTTGATTTTAGGTTTGAATTGTGATTTGAATCGAGATGGCGACTAAGGTTTATTGATGAGGGAATGGTTAATGAGTTTACTGAAGGGTAGCTTTTTATGACTGTTTGCGAATTTGATCTAAAATGAATGTAAGCACTACAATAGCCATCATATGCAAGCTGAGCTTCATTTATAAATTTGCATTCATTTTAGACCAAGTTTTTTTTTTTTTGAAGAATTTTAGACCAAGTTTGGTCGACTTATATGGTGTACAATTCTTAAGGGGTTGTATATGAAAAACGAGTGTTATGGTTCAACATATTATTTTTGCAGTAACATGGTTGAAGAGTTGATAAAGATGGTCTTTTGTTTTCGGATGGAACTACTGATAACCCAGTTATTAAGTCATTTACACTTGATCCTGTTTTTCCTACCATCCGTTTTCTGTGATTTTAGTGCAAGACACTTTGCAGGCTCTTTTATAGCCTGTAGCCTGTATTTTCAGACATTTCAAGTAAAGCCATACGGTAAATGTGGCATATTAGTGATAGAAGATGAGATTCCAAATTAGCACTGTAGTTCATTCAAGGACTTTGAATTTTTCTATGATCACATGCGCCTTCATTACTCAACCATTACACTTGTGCTGTTGTCAAGTTAGATTGAAATTTGAATATGGTTATTGAGATATTTATTGATGGATGATATTCTTGTTTATATGCTTTATTTCGAATACTTTCATGTTAGATCTGGTTTCTCTTTAGTGTCTGTTTATCAGTTTTCTTCAGTTCTGTGAGTCCTAGCATTTTGTGTGTGGGGTATGGTTGGGTAGGGTAGGGGGTGAGGTTTCATTTTTTTTAATCAGAATCTAAGTTAGGTGATCTGTTTCCATTAACCTTTTCTTGTTTTTTCTGGTCTTGGTTGCAGGATTATATCTTCATGCTGTGACTGAAACAAAGCTTGTGGTTGACACTTCAAGAGGGGAAACTCTACGCATCAATGTATTGTCAATGTCATTTGCTAATCCAACTTTAATTTAAGATTTCCCCTTCAGCTTTTTCCCTATGGCCATTCACATAAAATTTTCTGAGGATTCTTGTTACCTTTGCAAGATTTTTTGAAGATTCTTCCATTGTCCTTTTTCATATTTCACTGTAAATTGTTTTTATATGTTCTGGCAGCTTACTCTGCATTATGAAAATGGATATAACCATTATATTACACATTTTGTAGTGTTTCTTTTCAGTTTTATTTATAGCATTGCTGTGAATCCTTTGTAAGTATCCTATCTAATTTCGCAATATTCCTTTTGCATTTGAAAATGCAGTTTGATATCACATTTCCTGCTCTTGCATGTTCAATCCTCAGTGTTGATGCAATGGACATAAGTGGAGAACAACACCTTGATGTGGTATGTATTACAAGGATTTAAGCTTTTTTTTATTCTATATTGATGAGTTTTTCTCCTACATCAAGTGTAGTAAAGGGAATTTTCTAACCGGACCCCCGCCCCCGGGGGCACATAGATGAGTTTCCAGATGCATTGTAGGCAGAACATTATGTGCATGCTTACAAGACTTATTTCTTTCTGCGTATGCTGCTAAAATCGCCCAGTTGTTGCTTCTAAACATTTGTTTTCATAAACTTGCAGAGACATGACGTAATCAAGAAACGGTTAGATGTGCATGGCAATGTTATAGAAGCAAGACAAGATGGAATTGGTGCTCCCAAGGTTTGCTATATGGCAGTATTGCTTGAAGTCAATTTCTCAGTTGCTTTTTTTCCCTTTATGTAAAGGATCTGAGGAACAACACATTCAGCTATCCTTTTCCCCTTCTTTCTGCTCATAATAATTCTGCTTCACACAGATTGAAAAGCCTTTACAGAGGCATGGTGGCAGGCTCGATCACAATGAGACGTATTGTGGTTCGTGTTATGGTGCAGAAGCGGTATGCTTCATCTATAGTTCACTGTGATATAAGTTAATCCACTGGGTGGTGGGTGCATGTTTTTCCTGAATATGAAGGATCTTTGACCTTTTTAGGTCCTGATACTTAATTTTCTTGATCCTAATTTATTGTCATTTCATCATGTGCCTAAAATAGTAGACATTTGATTTTGTTGCATTTATTCACCTTTGTTCTTTAGTCTTTTGGCTATTCTCTAAAGTTGTATTGTATTTTATTCTGGAGTTGATCTGATCTGGTCTGTACCTAGGTAGTGAATAATCATTGAAAGCAGTCCAGTTATAAGAATTACTATCTTTCTGCCCCAGGCATGTACTTTTTCTCCCTGATTATTCTTTTTCATTTCGATGTTGCAGGCTGATGATGATTGTTGCAACTCCTGTGAGGATGTTCGCGAAGCATACAGAAAGAAAGGTTGGGCTTTGTCAAACCCAGATTTGATTGACCAGGTCTGTCTGCATTAGAGCTTAAAAAATCAGATTTCTGAAGTAACTTAAATTCAAATGATTCACACATAGACATGATGCTGGTATAGAACATTCTATTTGCCTAGTATCATTGATATTGGAAGTCACATTTGTACTTTGTTGTTTTTGTTTCCATAAGCTACTTAGCATAAACTGAACCCTATCTTCACTTCCTAAGAATGCCCATTGAGTATTGACCAATTTCAGATCCAACTCCCACAGAGACTCTATTTGGATGCCAGCTGCCAAGGTGGCAAGTGGTAGTTATTTTTCTAATAATTAGGTATTGACATGGGCCTTTGTATGCCCCCTTCTTAGTGCATTGAAAACTTGATCCTTTTTTTTTTGTTTCAGTAATCTTAAGATAAATATTTATTTGTTGTCCTGTATCTTGGTAACCATCAATATGGTTTTTGTTGCCGAATAATTGAAACTTTTAGTTGTTGGTAGTTGAGACATGCGTATGTATAGTGTACACACACACAAGTTTTCCTGAGGTAATATCCCACTGTATGCTTGTGTATGTGTAGTAGTTTATTATTTTCTGGTTGGCCTATCCGAAGATTTTGTCTGTTCCCCCTTTCATACTGTCTTAATCCAGTTGACCAACATGACTTTTTTTTATAGAAAATGTAAAGAGGCCTCATTAAAAAACCCCTTCATAACCTCCATGTTACAGCAGTAACATGAAGGACATTGGAAGGAGGAAAAGAGTGCCTCCGAATTTTATTAACAGAACAATATTACAAAGCTTGATCCAAACATCCTCCACTCACAACAAACAAATGAAAACAAAACACCCTGCACTGATACATACAACTCACAACAACCCAACTACCCAGACACACAACATGACCTTGGTTTATGCTTTCTTGTTTCTATTGTCTAGTGCAAGAGGGAGGGTTTTCTTCAGAAGATCAAGGATGAAGAAGGTGAGGGGTGTAATATATATGGCTTTTTAGAAGTTAATAAGGTGGCGGGGAATTTTCATTTTGCACCTGGGAAAAGCTTTCAGCAATCAAATGTTCATGTACACGACTTGCTTGCATTTCAAAAAGACAGTTTTAATGTAAGATATAGCCCTTTTGTTCCCGTTCTTTGTGTACATAAGCATGTCTTATCCGAAAATGATCATCTAATGTTATCATGCTTCATGAATACTTGATATAGATAAGTCACAAGATCAATAGATTATCTTTTGGAGATTACTTTCCTGGGGTCTTGAATCCTCTTGATAGGTACTTGCTATTTTTTCTTTATCGTTTTATGTTGATCATGTACAAGATCTAGATGATGGCACACCTTACATTTTTTCTTCTCAATCATATTTTCCTTCTAAATTCAGTGTTCAATGGACTCAAGAACAACCAAGTGGGATGTACCAGTACTTTATCAAGGTCAGTTTTCTGGGTGAATTCATCTTTAGTTCATGCTTATCATATAATCCATTCATTATCAGAGTTATCACATCTATCTAGTAATTGAAGCCAGCACCTGGATCTAGATTATTTGCCTTTTGGTACCCTTTTCATTCCATTAACCTATTATGTATGCAGGCTGCAGCAGGTGACACTTCCACGCACAATTCTACGTTTATAAATGCTATATCATATCAAGGTTCACAATTTAATATAAGAAACATTGACCAGTGATAAAGTTAGTATATGTCTGCTCCTCATTGAAGGGTATAAAGTAGCAGAGAATTAAAGTCTGATTGAATAGCTTAATTATTTTAAACTTAATGCATGTCAATCAAATTTATTGAGGAAACAATTCCATTTTCAAATACTAATGACATAAGCAAACGGATCAATAAAGATAAGAATGAGACCCTGCTGAGAATATGATACAACCATTAATTTTGGGCTAATATAAACCAAAGGACCATGTCTTCCATATTCGCTGTGAAAACAAAAGAGAATGACACATTCAAGAAGACAGATTAGCATGTCTTCTTACTGAGTTTTTAGCATCCTAGATAGACTTATGGCACATTCTCATATCTTCAGGGGTACATATTCTTCCTTTTATTGTTTCTCATGCATGTAGCTTATAATGTTTCTAAATGAGCTTTAAATAAGGAGATGCTCTCTTAGTTTGAGGGATTTTCAATTTACTTTCTATCTTGTAGGTTGTACCTACGGTGTACACAGATGTGAGTGGAAACACTATCCAGTCAAATCAGGTGTGGTTAAAAAACTTGCAAGAATCGATTCTGTCTCATCTTTCATTTAGTCAAAATGATTAATGCTTGAGAGAATGCTTTCGACAGTTTTCTGTGACAGAGCATTTTAAGGGTGCAGAAATAGGCCGACTTCAATCCCTCCCAGGAGTTTTCTTCTTTTATGACCTTTCTCCTATCAAGGTTGGTTTCTCCTCTGCTTTTGTTTTTACGCGATCTCTTTGTTTGGAATAACTAATTGACGTCTTAGAAATGCTAAATCACTTTCAAGGTTCCTTCTATATATAAAAGGGAGCCTAGGGGTCATGCTTATAGATGTTAGCCCAAGTCTGGACATTTTTTCCGGTTGTTTCATTTGATTCATGCTATTTCTCTGAGCTTATTTTCAATTTCATTTTTCAGGTGACTTTCACCGAGCAGCATGTCTCATTCTTGCACTTTCTAACAAATGTTTGTGCTATAGTTGGAGGTAAGTACAAAATAATAGCACGCCACACCCCCCCCCCCCCCAAAAAAAATAATAATAATAATAAAATAATGAACTTGTTCATATTTGATCAACTTTGTCCGAGGCAAGAATCCAAGATCTTACAGATCCGACTTCTAAAATTTACTTCTAGTTTAAATCCTCATCCCCTGAACTTATTTTTTTTTTATTCTTTTTACGGAAAAAAAATCCTGTTTGTGTTGTATGGGGCCACGTGTATGTATAGATTTTGTAGTTCCTGAATCCATCTCTCCCTAACTGAGTGAAAAGACTGTGCCCAGATATTTTCTATGTTGGGGTCAAAACAGATGATATCTTCTCAAGTTTTTAATTTTCATTAAATTGTAGCAGTTTATTCCCACTTCAATTCAAGAACAGCTTCAATTCCAAGACTATGGCTTCATCAACGAATTTACAGCAGCTTTTACTTCACAGATATACCCTTGATTGGATTGGTGTTGTAATTCTATTTTTCTTTTCCAGGTGTTTTTACAGTTTCGGGAATATTGGACTCTTTTGTATACCATGGTCAAAAAGCAATCAAGAAGAAGATGGAAATTGGTAAATTCAGTTGATGATACACAAAATTGCTACTATTTCCTGTTCCGTCAACAGGTGCTTAGGAGAAAAGCGAATCAAGTAAGCAAGAAGAACAGTGCGTTGTATGTATCCCCCTTAAGTTATTAGATTTTTCTTGGTAATCATTACTGAAATTTTGTTGACACATTCGATGGTTGAATTGGACCCATGTCGTACTTCATTTACAAGCTATAGTCGTCTTTGAGACAGCCTGAAACCGACAAAATCCGCCAAAAAGGCTGACCTTTTGCTTGAATTTATTTATGTTTTTACTAAGCGTAAACTCAACTTGAACTTGAAGGGTAGATCTGCAGTACGGTAGATTTAATATATGGTTAAGTAAAGATTTTATAAAAAATGTTAATATTTTCAGTAAAACGTTATTTAAAATATTATTATTTTATCAAAAATGTTAATTCCGTTAATTAATTTTTTGATAAAACCCAATATTAATATTTCTGATAGAAAAAATAATGTTTTAGGTAACGCTTTACCGGAAATGTTAAACATTTTACGTAGCGTCTAATATTAAAATTTTTAGTAGAAAAATAATATTTTAGATAGTGTTTTATTGAAAATTTTTAAAAAATATATTAATATTTTTGGTAGCGTCTTTTTTTTAGCTATATAATAAGATTGATGTACCCGATACATTCCAACTTGAATGAATTGTACCTTCAACAAGAATTAGGAAAAGGTGGTCTTTAAAACCCATTAAGTTGTTATTTTACTATATTTTGTTTATATAAGAGAGTCCGAAATATGAAAATTAAAAAATCTACAATTGATGAGATTTCAAATTTCAAACAAATCGATTAAAACCATATTCAGTGTATGAATTAACTGGATTAAAGTCTTGGTATCCAAAGGTAAATTCAGAGGTTAAATGAGTTCAGATAAAATAAGGAATCTACCAACTACTTAGGGCCGTTTGGTTGGGGGAATGTGAGATTTCTCTGGGAATGGAATTCACATTCTCCCGTTTAGTTGGCCGAAAATGTCATTACTGGTAATATTTTATTACTAATAGTAGATTTTTTGTGGTATATTACCGGGAATGTTATTACCCCTTCTCTTAGGTATTATTGGATTACCGACGTTTTGGACTAAAATGTCCTTAATTTTTTTTCTTCAAAAATATCTTTCTTCTGTCATTGAATAATAAAAATTCTACGAAGGTTAAATTACAAATTTATCTTTATACTATTTTAGATTTACAAAAAAAACTTATAATTAATATTTTATATGAAGTTCAGGGTTAAAATAAAATTTTATCCTTTCATTAACCTTTTTATATTTTCAATTTTGTAAAAAAAATTATATAAATTTTATGAATTTAATTTTTTTAAAGAAAATATATAAATATCTTATAGTAATATTATAGTAGAATTTAACATGTTAAAAAAATAAATATATAATAAGGACAATTTGTTCAAATATACATTCAAATAATCATTTATTCCTTTAACCAAACACGGTAATCTTACATTCTTGTTAAATCAACTAAACACAAAATACAACATTCACAGTAATCTTATTTTATAATAATATTTTATTCCTACTGGTAATCTTACATTCCGTGAACCAAACGAACCCTTAAGATCAAGTTCAATTCCCAACTAAATACTTAAAACTAAGTTTATAAGAGTAAAATATGGATTAATCCTTTTCGTATTCTTCACATATCGAGGGTTTCGGCTTATCCTGGCTTTACATTCTAAGTTTTCGTGAACTTACAAAATATCATATAGAGTATAAAGAAAATTATTTTTTATTAGGGTGTTTGTTACAATACTTTGAAAAGACGTGTGGATTGTCTAATAACTTTTGAAAGACATCTAGATTATGTAATAACTTCTAAAAGACGTTTACATCATCCGGCAACTTTAGGTAATCATATGGACGGCAAGGTATTTTATTAAGGCTTCATGTATGTACAATGACAGTTAGCATAGATAAATTCAGAAGTCATCATGTGGTCCAGACGGTTACTACCAAACACTGTACAAGGTAACTAAATTCAAGAAATGATTTTTTTCCAGATAACTTTCGCTAAACACTGTAAAAAATAACCTAATTCGATAAATAAATTTTTCTTGAATCTTATATCACTCAGAAAAGTTCAACATATTATTCAAATAATTTTACCCTTAAATAGAAGTTATAGAAAAAAAGTTCTGTCCGATTAAACTTTTTATCATTAAACCCCCTGGGAACTGGGGCGACATTGCGCCACCTGGCTCGTTCCACCGTTAAAGACGGCTGGCTCTTCACCCTGTGCCTAGGGGAATTGTCGAGAATCAAGCTTTTTACCCGATTCCCACAATTCAACTCATTATAACAGGGAAGCCAGGCTTGACATAATCGTAAACCCTGCCGAGGGAACCCCAAACATTCGTTCAATTACCTAATGTCCTCACCTGAGTTACAAGCTAACGCTACTTGGCTCGGCAGTTCAAGTTCGCGTATCTGTTCTTTATAAAAATAAGTAAGATGTAAACATGGTCCATGTGGGACATTTAACATTTTATAGAACAACAATGTTGTGGAGGCCGAAAACAAGTCCTCAATCAATTGGAATCACTCATTGCATGGAAAAGAAAAATATCAAATAGAGGCTTTTTGGATTCCACTTTCTCCTTGTCATTGTCGTGATCAACCTGAGAACCTGGTGAGGGATTATTCTGAGATGAAGGTGATTTTAGAGATTGATTTTAAAGGTTCAACTCTTGACTAGTAACTTGAGGCACATTAAAACATCGCTTTCTAGAAACTTGGCTTTGATCCTCTTTCTTCTTTGCATACTTAAGTTCATCGATAAATTCTGAGCCTTTAAAGAGTTTAGGTTTTTCATCTTCAAAGCATAGTAACCCTGATGTGTTGAGATTTTGAACCTTTAATCTCACAATCCCATAATTTTCTATAGAGCGGCTAAAATCGCCACAATGGTATCCATATGAATTTTTGATACTCTGTCAATCCGGACACAAGTAAATATTGTGTCTTGGAGGAATTGGCGTTAAAAGGTCACTATCGAAGAGAAAATGTAGCAAATCTGAATATGAGCCCGGGATTGGAACAAGTGGTGTCTTCTTATTCTTTTTCTTATTCTTTTTAGCTCTCTTTATTGACATTTGAATTTCTTCTATGCCTCTCTTCTTTGGGACTCATCTTTCACGAGAGAAACTTTATCTTTTATTGCCGCTTTACCTAACATAGCTTCTGCGATGCTCTTTGAGACCATACCTGGTTTTTGAAGATGACTTGAGTTACCATGCTTCTTAACAGGTTCTCGATCATATGCTAATATCACTTTAGCATCACAAATGATACTCGTATTTTCTTTCAAAGTCTTTGCCCCTTCTTGCACAATGGGATCCTCTGACAATTTTCATCCAGAGATCACAATAGTCATCATCTTCATCAATTTAGACATCTGCTCTCTTGATTCCTCTTGAAATTTCTTTGTATGATCATTTTTCTTTTTGAGTTCTAACAAGTTGTTCCTGGAGTCTCTCGATTCTATTAACCCGGACTAATATCTCATTCATAGCTCTCGATTTTGCTTTTAAGATTTCTACCATATAATCCTCCACGAATTATTATCATGTTGTAACACCCCCAACCTGTACCCGACCCGGATACGAGTCCGAGATGTCACATTGACTTTTTAAAACAATTTTCTTACAAAATAACAAAACATATGAACTCATATTAAGGAAATACAATAATATACTATTAAATTATGTTTGTTATAAAATTTTAAGGCAAAAATGTATTTATGAGCAATACTATACGGTATGAACAATATCGTGAACAATATCGAATGGTAAAATTTTCCAGAATGCTAGAGGGGTATTGATACCCTGCTACAGTGTACCGATACCCTGCTACATTACTGCTACAGTACTTCCATAAAACATACATAAACTCTTAAAATTTAACCTTTCATCGCTATACATTTACCATTTACATAAATACGTTTAAAACATTCCAAAACTCGATCAAAGCATAAATACTTAATTTACCGACTTTGTTTACATGCCAACCTATTTAACACATAATAATACATATTATTTAATCTACTTCTGATCTGACCTTCAAGTGGAGATATGTTGTTCTGCTGTCTATCCTTGCTTGTCTATCTTCTCTGATCCTACGTGTGAAACACTCACACGCTAAGTCATCGACTTAGTGAGGCATAATGATAATATCATAATAATATGAAATGTAATGAAATCACATATTTAATACATGCAAATTGCATAACCATGTATCTTACCCATAATCTGATCAAATTAACCATCATGAATTCATATAATAAGTTCATTGGCCCATGATATAATACTGAGAACCTGAGGTATGTGAGTACTGCACCGAAGTGCCACGTAGAATTACACTGTAGTGCCATATAAAATTATCCATAAGAACCATATATAAATTCCTTAAGAATCATATACAAATACCAAGGATCAAGTATGTGTATCAAAATACCTCATACATGTTCCAAATAATACATATATGTCCCGAAGGACCACATAGAATTTGTCCCGAAGGACCGCGTAGACCCTCTACTCTTGGCATACCAACTATACCTATAGTTCTCATCTACATAACATGGCTTTCACAATTCATATAGTTTATATCACGTAGACATATAATTTCCATACCTTTATCACATAGCTCATATAACTTTTCATGCATATTCATGTCACATAATGCATATGGTATGAACTCATATCATGTTTCATAATATGAAATGAATCATGTATCAAAGTATTAAATCTAGACGTATCACAAGTCTAGAACTGAATATATTTTTTATAATCATGCTATGCATATGCACTCACCTTAGCATTGCTTTGATTCGATCCTAATTCTTTGATTGTTTCGGAACTTGTTTAGGCTCAATATCTATATAAACATAATTTCCGAGACGATTATCAGAAGCCTAAACCTTATAACTTGATGTTAATAACTTAAGCTAATTTAATAAACCAAAAAATCTATTTTCCCTTTATGGGGTATCGATACCCTCCCTAAGGTATCGATACCCTTATTATATTATGGAATTTTTCGTTCAAGAGGGTATCGGTACACATACTGTAACCCCCTCAGACCGATACGGATAACCCGATCCGATCTGGAGTGTCACATTAGGGCCACCGGAGTGACCCACTGTAAAAATAACGGAAAATTTAAAACTTTTTATCAGAACATGTAAACTCATAAAATCATTTATAAGTATTCATAAAT